GTGACCCGATAAATTCTTTGCACAATACCAATTACCATGATAACAAAATTCCACATCTGCTGCAGCTTTGGGTTCAAATTTTATCCGTTTAATTACAAGAGTCGCCAATTCGTACTGATACTGAAATTTCTTGATTTGACTACTCCTCTAGCTTTGCCATGTTCAAAAGAGATGTTATGCTATTGGGAGAGTCTAAGGGTGTGTTTGGAAACAAAAACAATTAATCTATATTCAATTCATATTTAAAATGTAATTCAACTTTAATTTAATCTCATTATCTTTAATATTATTAATATAATTAAATAATAATAATAATAGTTAATTAGTTTTACACATCTAATCAACTTTAATCTACTATTCATTCATTCAATTAATTTTAATTAATCATACTTCATTATCATATCTCACCTACATTTACATCAAATTAATTTTAATAATTTTGTTTTAAATAATATTTTAATGTAAACTCAAAATCTAACAATATCATTTTTTTTTTCAAATTAACCCTAATTGACAAAAAAATTAATTTTGAGCGTATTTATTTGTAAACAAACACACCCTACCATAGTTATCGAACAAGATTATAATGTGTCCTTCTGTATAATTAAGAAAAATATATATATTTCATTGGCGGTATATCATTATTTATGGCCTACCCGGCTCGATTTCGAATTAGTCGGTTCCCCTGTGGATCTGGAAACCGGAAGTTCTCTGTACCAAAAAAAAAAAAATATATAAATAAAAACAAATAAAACTGACAAGTTGTTGCTCCATATTCTGAAAAACAGATTACCAACTGGGCGAGTTATATGACTCATGAGATCGTGACGAGCAATTTGGCCATCTCCCTTTTTAAAAAATATTAATAAATAATTTTTGTCTGCTTTATTCAATGATTGCTTGTATATACATACAACAAAAACATTGTAGGTCTCATCCAGCTTGTATAAAGGTGTGCTATGTTTAATGTTTATATACAAAGGTAAATGATAAACTACTTTGGCAATAGGATATTTGAAAAAAAAAAAAAAAA